AGTGTGTTTATTAAGATATTGTTCACACAGCTGAAAAGGACTTAAAATTTTTGTTTTCCAGAAGGACTAGTGTGGAGTAGACTTGATCTGTTTATATTTGCATGTGCAAATCGCGGAAACAATAAAATAAGGCTGAAGCAGTGATGCTTTCATATATGTGGGATGATATTAAGAATTGCAAATACTTAAATCTGAGCTAAAATGGCTCTGGCCCTCACATAGAAATGCATTAAAATTTTTCAGGTTTTTTTTTTCTAGCAGCAGTGTAAATCGCAGTGCAATAAACACACTAACTTCAGATGTATGAGTCCTTTTCCATGAGTTCTTTCCCAGACATGCTGTATATATATATATATATATATATATATATAAAATAAATTTTAAGGTCTAGAAAAATAAAGTAAATATAATCTAATACTAGGTCATGTGTAAAAGAGAATCCTAAGTATCCTATTTAAGGAAAGAATGTGGTGAAGTAATATCACTAATCCTATTGCACATAAAATATGAACTGGAACAACTTAAAGATATACATAGTACTTTAAAACATCTAGATCTAAGTACTTTAAACAGTATTTAAATTTTTATTTACAAAATTATAGATTGTGGCCTAATGAATTTAGATGTTTTATTTTCTCATCCAGATTTTTTTACAATAGCATGCAGCATGTAAGATCCAGATATTTTTATTTTGTGACATACATACTATGTGACGAATGCCTTGAATGCATCATAGCATCTGCTCTGCTACAGCATTTCATATTGTTATTCACAATCTCAATTTTAAGTTAACTATCCGATTATCTTAATTAAAGCTCTCTAAAGCAATGTTACACTAGCCAGAACAAAGTGTGAATCTCTCAATGTTAATGTGATTGAGACATTGTTTTAGCAGCTTTGCGAAGATGTATATAAAACAAATTTTGTAAGGTTATCAATAGATTCTTCTAACAATAAAGAAATTAAAACTGTCTGAAACGTTGTGCAGTGTTTTTGCCAGATTCTGACATAAAAGACTTTTAGAATTCCAATTAGTTCCAACTGGAACTGCAGAAATTCACTGACACACTATTTAATGTCAATTATAAAGACTCACAGTGTAGTAAAACAAATTATTGAATTTTGTGGATATAATTGAAATCCTAGCTTTGGGAGTGTTAAACACAGAAGAGAAAACACTATTTACAATTTTTGAGTAGTTAAAATTTATAAATATTTCCGCATTTATATGGTTTAATGATATTAAACTAAAAGAGTTCTATGAATTTATAAATGCAAAGTATAAAAAAGGTTCTTCAACATGGTAACATCTGTTTTCTTTCCTTATTTCCAGCTATTGACATAACACTTAAAAATCTATGAAGCACTGAAATGTTATTTCACAGAAACACTATCCACTGATGATAAAACATTTTAAAATTTAATTTTTGATATTTAAAAAACAATTTTGATAATGATCGTGGTGAAATGTATTTATGGTTTGTGCAAAAGCAACTAAATCATTCAACAAGACTATCTCGATTATAGAAAGTGCTGAAAAATTAAAAAGCAAATCTTGAGGAAAGGTGTGATAATAAATACAGTCAAAAGTTGTTAATTCGGACACCCATAATCCGGAATGATCTATAATCCGGACCTCAAAGCTACAAACTTTCTTTCAACGCGACGCATGCGCGTAAGGCCTTTACGGCTGCGAATATGCATGTGCGCATGCGCAAAATACGTTTACGAATGCGCGTTTAATGTATAACGGACGGTATAAGCTAAGCTAAAATTATCTAATTCAGTTAATATTGCAGATTGCGTTGTTCCTTAATCTTCGAATTGGATTCGGCTTATTATTTTTTGCAGACTGTTAGAGCAATTTTATAAAAGTAAGCTTGAACTTTCGATTATGTCAAATAGAATTTCTGATATATATTTACTAATATGTAAAGGATCTGCAAAGTGAAAGTATGTTTCGAAGTCCATTAAACAAAAAGTGGAATTGCTGCAAAAAATGGATAAAGACATATCCTTTGTTCATCTAAACTTTAACGTTTGTTTATCTAAACTTTGTTTATCTTTAACGCCACAGCAGGCGCGCAGTGAATTGGAAGTTGATCTGTCAGCACTATCCTTATCTTCAGGGCAGATGTTTTTATTTTATTTGGCTTATAATTCCTTACTAAATGTAGTATTTCATCTCGATGAACTCTGTCTTTGATATGATTTAAATCAAATTCCTCGTCATTATAATTCGTTTCTGATAGCGAAGAAAGTGAATGAAGTTATTGAAAACGAAAAAATTTTGATTGACAAATTAGTCGGTATTCTCGACACAGCAATTATAGGACCTGAACAGCAGAACTTTGTAACTGAACAAGAAATTATGTCTGTTTATAGAATTAAAGAGAATGTATTATCGCATAAAAAATGAAGCAACTTAAACAACTTACATTGAAAGAAATGTTTAATAAAGTAAACAAATAAATATTAAGCTTTTTTTTTTTTTTTTTTTTTTGTAAATTTTGATACCCTTTAGATCATAACTGTTCTTTATTTCATAAATTATGGTTTCATATTTTTAATTTTATAATTTCTGCATGCCATTTTACGAGATTTAAACTGATGATCTATAATCCGGAAAAATCGATAATCCGGAATCGCCGAAGTCCCGACGAGTCCGGATTAACGACTTTTGACTGTACATACTTCAAGAAGCAAAAAAAAATTAGAATGGTTTAAAAAAATTGGAAGTATTAATATCAATACAATTCATCATGATATTACAGCATTTTATGACAGCTGTCTTTCTCACATGAGTTATGGGAACACAATTCACAACTTTGGTATAGCAGAATATTTCTTCTTTTTTCTCCTTTTTTTTTTTTTTTTTTTTAGATAAACAACAATAAACAAATATGTATTGAAACTGAAGCTTCAGGTGAAAAAATTAAAGGAACTCTCACAAATGATATAATAAATAAGGATTAATCTTTTTGATGAACTAGTGATTGCAAAAGCTTTTTTGTCAGCTAATTACAAAATCTGAAAAAATAAAAGTTGTGGAGAAAAATGGGTACAACTTTTCAATTATTTCAAGGGGAAAAAATTATTGCCCAATCTAATTCAAATAATAGAATACATACTGAGTATACAAGAAAGCATATTCTCAATAATGAATATCATATGTTCTGAAGAAGAGTTAGAATAGCTGAATCAACTTTAAAATTAACTGTGAACTATGCCATGAATTTTTTGATGCCATTAAAAATAATAAAGAATTTTTAAAAAACATTTACACTAGTGATAAAACCTAATAACTTCCTAATTATAAGATATGTTCAGTTATTAAAAATGCTTTTTACCTCAATGTTTTTAGTCCAAAGGGGCTTTGTCCCTGAAGGATTATTGTTTTTGTTTTGCGATTTTGCGTTGAATCACTATAAACGGCAAATCCCTTTTCAAACTGCTGCTACCAAATGTTAGAGTCCTGCATTATATTTGAAGAAATTCAGAAAAATCTGCATAAATGTATGTATATTTCTCGTATTGTGATAAAGCAACGGTACATAGAGCCATTGAATTTTGAATGACGCAAACCTCCTACAAATATGGGCATGTTCAAGACCAAATTTGAAACTTGGAATTTGTTTTATTATCGATTTCATATTTTGTAAAACTTTAATGAATTTTTGAGTAACAAACTCAACAATTTAAGAGCGAGCAATGACAACACTCTATGGAGGAAAAAAAAACCTTTATATTTCCAGCCCGCAGAACTGTGTATCCGAAATTCTAAAGATATGCTCATTTTAAAATTATTTTGCAACATAGCTATTGAACTGAATTTTATGGTTTAAGTACAAAGAACATGATATTTAATAACTAAGGGTAACACACAAAAAGTTAAAAAAAGCCCCTTTGGACGTAATTCAAAATCTGAAACCTTTCAGATTAAAAAAAAAAATTTTTTTTTGGTTAACTTCTTTATTTAGACTTTTCAATCATAGGTGCTTATCCTAGTAGGCTTTATTTCTTGTTGTATTTTCTTAGAATTGTCCCACTTTGAGCAAAAATGTACTGGCTTACCAAAATAAAAAATATTATGGTAAGGCTGAGTATTAAAAACTGAAAAGTAAAAGGTAAAAGGGCAAAGACTTTGGCATCAAGGAAAGCAGGCCCCACAAAAAAGTGCTTAGGTATTCAGGATAGGAGGCACCAAAGAAATTTCCCATTGATGGTTTTACCATAGAATGCATGCTGCAGCTAAACGAAAACCGAGAGAGAGAGAGAAGGCATGAAGATAAAAACTGGTGTAAACATATGTGAGGGCACCAAAATCTTCCAAGTTCTTAGTGACTCTAAAAATCTTAATCCAGCCTTGTGCATTATGAATTACAACAAAAAGTAATCTTATGTAAAATTTACATATTTATTCGAAATACACTGTAAGCTGGTCTAAAAAAATCTATAATTCATTACAATCAGATATTTTGCAACAAAATGTTAAATCTGAACTTGCATCCGATTATATGACTATATAGTTTACAAAAATACAAGTCTTATTTTGCAAAGCACAAAAGCAAACCACATAATGGATATCAACTTTGTAACAGAAGGGAATTTGTTGAGAACTTTCTAAAAGAAACTTGTTCTTATTTATTCTGCAGGTGGTTGCATAATATAAACGAAACCTGATTGCAGTCAACTTATTTGCAGGCTCAAACTATTAGCATTCTGTGATTTTAATTGCTCAGCTTTGGTAGGCTCAAAGAGTTAAACGTAAAGAATTTGAAATGTTCTAGAATAATTTGATGATTTTGCTATGATATTTCAGAGAAAAACGTCCTATTTAAGAAAAAAATAATAGGATATTATATTTAAATATAAAAATGTGTTTTAGAATACAGATCAGAACCTAAAATCTTTTATGAAAATTTCTCCAACATACTATACATAAATATAGATCAATTAAAAATAATTTCTTTATATAAATCACAAACACAAAATCTTACCATTTCTTTCAACCATTCCCCTAGTGGACGTTTCTGAGCTATTTGAAGTTTCAGTTCTTCATCTTTGATGAATACATGCTTCTGTGTATCAACTAAAAGCATGCGACCTGGTCTCAAACGGCCCTTTAAGTAAAATTCATAAAATATACATCAATACTTTGAGAATGTATGTAATATAATAAATATTAATAAAAAAGTCAAACATAACAAAAAAATGTAAAACAAAATTGTGCACATTTTAATTAAACACAGGAATAGTACTTCAAAAAAGAAAAATAAATAGTACCTTCTGAAGAATATTAGAATTTTCTAAATCTAACACACCAACTTCACTAGCCATTATCATGTGATTATCTCGAGTGAGATAATATCTTGAAGGCCTTAAGCCATTTCTGTCAAGTATAGCACCAATAAGGTTTCCATCTGTGAATGTTAGTAAAGCTGAAAAAATAATGAAGAAGTTAAATTTTTTTCCATGATTGAAAAATATTTAAATGTAAATTTACATGTAGTATTTTACCTCAAAATTTTCAGTAATCATATATTTTATCATGCTTGTTAAATTAATATGTAAATTATATATTATATGTATAATTAATATGTAAAATTAATATGTAAAAAAATTTGTAAATAAATTCCTGAGTTATTTTTTTCAGATGCATTTAATTTTTCAACTTTAACTCAATCAATTTTGTTTTAATTTAAGCTAAATAATAAGGAAGGAAAATACAGGTGGTGTATTTCTTTGCCTAAAGTAGAGTGAGAGTGTTTTTTCGGTTTAATTGATCTTATGTTAATTTGCCATGACCATTAAGCTTCTTTTCTCCTGAATTATTTTAAACAATTTTCTTTTACAAAATAACCTCAGTGCTATCTTCTGTGATAAAATGAGCTGCAAAACTACTTCGCAATTTGTTTATAAAATCATCAGAAACTAAAATCAAATAAGGCATAAAACTATGTTAAATATGGTATTGATGTACTCTAACAAAATATAATATAGATTTTAATACTTTAAAAACACAGGTTGCTGTCAATGTAAATATCTCATCTTCCAAAATTCCCCCAACACAATATTTCAAATTTCTTTTGTCACATTATGTTAATTAGCCTGACTTAGTTATTGTCACTTTATTCATATTAATCATGCCACTATTATTTCAGTTTATTGCCTTCTCTCTTTATACTAACTTCAAAACAAACATTTATTATTCATTGGTTTTAGTAAAAGAGAGAGATCACAGAATCAGTAATTAAATTAAAAATAATGATTATAAATAATTTTCCAAATAACTGAGAAAAAAATTCAGATAGATATTCAGACACATTATTATTTGATGAAAAAAATTACTTTAGAAAAAACATGCGAAGCTTAAAATTATCCTATGAAAAAACGACATTCATCAAAGATGCAGTATTATAATCATTACAATCATTACATTGTAGTGTTATAATCATTACAAAGCATGTAGCTTAAGACAATTATAAATGATTCCCAGCTTTATTAATTTTGTATGTAAAAAAAGGGGGAGGAAATTTTTAGATTTACTCTTGTTGTTTCAATTCTTAAGTACTTTAATGAAGTCTTGCAGAATGCAAAGCTTCCTTTATTAATTAGATTAATGAGGTAGATAGTGTTAGTTTGTGCAAATGCAATGTTGGCATAAGGGTAGCTCATTTAGAAATCTGATAATTAATCAAATCTTGCATTGTAATAACTTTTCAAAAACAGTGTATTATTCTCATGTCTCTAATAGGAAATTCAAACACTTCCTTAAAACAAGTTTCTGTAATATAATAAGGCCAATTCCTAAAATAACTTTCACTAATAAAACATTTTAGATAGTAGAATGCTTAAAATATAGGAAGCCTGCACAGTAACTTAGGCAATATAATAAATATTGGCAAGCAAATAAGAGAAAAGGTCACGATTTGATCCTACTCCTACATTATTCTGGTTTGCTGTACTAAAATTATGTTGCCATATACATTTCAGAGACTTGCTTAAAGCAATCCATTTTAATAAAGTAGACACACAATTCAGAAAAAGTCAGAATGACCAACAATTCTTATCAATAAAATTATACGCATGTTTCTATGTATGGGTACCATAAATGATTTTAATGCATTTGATATACAAGAATGCAATTAGTTCACCAAAAAAATTATGTGTTTTTCACAAATATGGTGTGCAAGAGAAATTGGTGTCAGTGTTCAAAATTTATTCAAATATTATAAAAATTTCATGAGCAAAGTGTAACAAGTTATATTATGGTACTGCTAAGAAATCCAGCAAATTGTGGAGATATTAAAGATGCTTTCTAAAGTGAACATTAAAAGTGCTTTCATTCCACATTCTTTCACTATGCAAATTCAAAGAACTGTATTTAAACTAGAAATACAATTTTTCAAAATTTACCTGGGCCATCCCACGGCTCCATTACACAACCACTCCATCTATAAAAAGCTTTTTTATCTGGATTCATCAGATTATCATTCTGCCAGGCTTCAGGCACCATAGTCATTACTGCCTGTAATTAAATGTATTGACATAAAGAAGTAAATCGCTGGACAGAAATTTTAAGACACAGCTACACAGCTTTTTGCATTTTCTACAATTCAGTACAATTACATAACAAAGGTATTTTTACATGATATGATGCAAAATTCTATAAAATATATCAAATCATTGCAGTTGAGAAAAAGATGCAACAAGCAAATACAAATTTAAAGTGATGAATTTAAATAACGGTTAATAATTACATCTTACACAATTTAAGTACTGAAAATAAGAAATTACACAATCTCTATAATACTAAAAGTTGGAATTTTTTTTTTTTTTTTTTTTTTTTTTAACTGTCTGAAAGAATTTACACTTTTTTTGACAACTTACTTCAGGCAATGATCTCTGACCAGCCATAACTAAGAATTCAAGAACATTGTCAGCACAGCCAGAATCTGAAAGGTTAGGTTCAACAACTGGATATAATTTATGCAATTCTTCACCAAACAGCTGACTTTTCATGACACCTTCTCTTGCTCGCATTAAATTAACATTACCACGAAGAGTGTTTATTTCACCATTATGAGCAAGCATTCTGTAAAAAAAAAAAAAAAAAAAAAAAAAAAAAAAAAAAAAAAAAACCCTCTTTAACTAACAAATATTTATATAGATATTTTAATGGTATTCAGAATGACACAGATGTAAGAATACAGAATAAATAAATAAAATGTTTCAAAGCATTAACATTCGATATAAATATTATAAAAAAATATATGATTTTTGGTTTATTTTGATAACTAAATTAGAACATTTCACTATACCTAAAAAAAAATACCATAGAAACACTGTTTTTTCAAGTACATTTGAAAGAGACAAGCAATAGGAAAAGGAAGTGGGATATAACAAGTACATTTTAATCAATAATACCTCATTGGATGAGCTCGTTCCCAACTAGGAAACGTGTTTGTTGAGAATCTGGCATGAACTAAAGCTAAATGAGTTTCAAAAGCTGGATTTTGAAGGTCATAAAAATAACTCCATAACTGAGTTGATGTGAGTTGTCCCTATATATAGATAAAAAAATGCAATTTAAAAATTAAAACAGAAATCACATGCTATTTAGCTATAGGAATAACATTTAATTCAAAACAAAGGTGAGAAAAATAATATAAAAAGGGATAGTGTGATTGCAGAAGAAGAATTAGTGCATTTGGTACCTAACTTTTATCCTATCCCAGAAAATGTTAATGGCATCGTCGACATTTTTTTGGAGGTTGAAATTTTTTAATGGTGGTTATGATCAGGGTCGGCGCCAAAGCCAGCACGGCCGCATCTAGAGACAGAATTTAAGGACGGCAAAATCCAGAATTTTAAAAATTTGCCGGGAGGCAGAATTTAGGATCCATAGAGATTGCACAAGATACCAAAAACCACAGCAAATGTAAGCTCACCCCAATCAGTAAATACAATGCAAGAATAGGTGACAACTGGAGCATGAGTTAATGCTATTAATGAGTAGAATGGATTAATTTTATGTTAATTCTTTTTAATAAAAAATACAATATTTTTCTTTAATTGTCTTTACATAAAGTACCTATAACATATTGATCTAATTTAAATATTATTTTAAGATAAATTTTTTCCAGGGTGAGATGGGGTTACAATTCAAAACGTTCCATGAGTCGACCACTACCCAAGAAGAAAAAACCAGGGCTGTGGAGTCACAGTCATGAAGCCGGGCAGATTTTGGGGTAAAAGAAGTCGCAGCTGGAGTCGCTAAAACCAGGTCGACTTCAACTCCAGTTTTTGTTGGACAGTTTGAATTTGAAATGAAATTTAAATGAATTGAAAAAATTAATGACAAGCTGTGTTATTATTTTTACTTATGGACTATATACATTAATAAATAGTGATTTTCTATTTTATTGACATATTAATAAATAAATATAAGGCAGGAGGATGGATGTGATATTTGCCATTAGTGATTAAACTAATTCATTTAGTTACAAATTTCACTGGTAAATTTAAATAAGCAGAAATAGCAGCAAGAACTCCCAAAATTGATGCCATTCTTAGGAAACGAGCAGGAAAAGGAGCAATTATTGATCAAGCAACGTGATGAGGAAGTACATATTTGATGATATAGAGGTTATTAGAATTAAGAACTTTTTTAGAAGACATAGATAACCCTAATGTTTCACTAACAGAAAGACAGTGGAATGACCTTGCAGAATTGGAAACTCTTCTTTCTACACCGTATATAGCCACAAAAAAGTTGCAGTCTGAAGAATTGACAGGAGGCGAGAATGGAAGAATGGGATGTTTGTTTTTTCTGAAATGGATGATTTATTGCAGAAGGAATCATTTCTTCAATGAAGAAAAAAGAAACAAGTTTGCTAGACAATGAGATCTTGCTGGGTTCAATATATGTAGATCTGAAACACTGAATTTTCTTGGATGACGAACAAATTAAAAAGGCAAAGAAAACCATTCATAAACTTTCATTAAGAATTAAATTATTCTCAGAACAATTAGAGAATTTGAATCAGGACAGTCAAACTGCAGACACTGCATCTGAGTTTCTATCATCCTCTTCCAGTGATGAATTAGATTTTGAGAAATATTTTTTGATAATATTGTAAAGGCTAAGGCAAAAAAGCAAATGAAAATAAAGAACCAAGAGCCTTTAGATATAAAAATGAAAAAAATAAAAACAAGACTTCTACACAGCCTTTGAAGAACCAGAGAAATATGATTGCGTTTGTAAGATACCTCTTTTAGAACTTATAAAAAATCTATCCTGAAAAGTTAAAAGAAGTAGCCCTAACAGTAACAGCTCTTCCTCCTACCTTAAGTTAGTGTGGAAAGACTCTTCTCAGCTCTGAAGTTTATCAAATCAAATCTGTGGCTCATTGACAAAGAAGATCTTGTCGAAACTATACTGTTTCTTAGAAATAACTAATGCCAAGTTTCCATTTGATAGTAAATGCTAATTAATATAAATAATTGGCTATGTCATCAATTTCTTTCTGTTGCATGTATTACTTCTTTTATAATAAAAAATAAGCTGTAACCCATGTGCATATGTTTACATCTTTATACATATATAGGCGGCTAAAGTGTGTGCCGCGATATGTTTATTGTTGCACTCGGAAAAAATGACCGTGGAATTAACGTTCCGCAGTTTTAATTAATATCTAGCCGATTAGTCGTACGAAGATGAGAATGTATCGTGGAGTAGGGAATTTTTGGAATCCCGCGGATAAGTGTTCCGAATTTCAACTCGGCGCCGTTCCGTAGAAAATCTGATTGCGCTTGCAAGACACCTCTTTAGAACAAATCGTATCTATGGCCCTGAAACAAGAAGATTTGCCGGAAGCATTCAGTTCTTCGAAATAACAATGCCAGGTTTTTCCCTTTCATAATAAATGCTAATTAATATAAATAATTTGCTACGCCATCAATTTTTTCTGTAGTATCTATTACTTCTTTTATATTAAAAAAATAAGCTGTAACCCATGTGCATATGTTTATATATATTATATGAGGGAGACGGAGTCGGAGTCAGAGTAAGAGTTTTTAAAATTCCAAGGGTTGGAGTTGGTCATTTTCACTACCGACTCCACAGCCCTGGAAAGAACAAATGTACGAATGCAAATTACAATCTAACAACTTTTCCCTGGAAAATAAGCGACTGGTAGATGTAATTAAGTATGCATCATTGGCACAAAATCGAGTGTCAGCGACGTCAGTGTTACAGAGCAGAACTGTATTTACAGAGCTACACTTAAGGACTGTCTATTCAAATAAACATATTTTGAGAGACAATTATGATTAGAAATAAGTCTTACTTTATACACAACAGTATCTGTAGACAAGCTGCAAATGTAGAAGCGTAGATCAGATGACGGAATTTTGTGAGTAGCGTACTTTCGTAAAACAAAAGCCTAAAAATAAAACAATAACACTTGCAATGAATTTCCCTTTAATACATTTTAGATAAAGCATCTTTGCCCATCATGCAATTAAATACATTTTCAATATTGACATTCATCACTCAGCTTTAACTACACAGCATTTTTTTTTTTTAAATTTTAAAGTCATAAATACTTCAAACTGAAACACATAACATTATATTAAATCTTAAATAATTATCATAAAGTTTAAAAATGGCTAAAATAGTTAAGGTTTAAATTTTGGATTATTACAACAAATTTTCGGGTAACATTTAGTACAATACAAGAACAAGCACTACAATGAAATGTAAAGTTATTAGCCATAAATTGTTTTTAAATAATTAGTCAACACATTTAGTTCTACTACATAGTAGTACTTAACATCATATGAAATTTCACTTGGTTTTACGATTAAAAAATAGTCCCATATTGCCGCTGCTATACTTACGACACAACAGTTAGGAGACAATGATCTTACAGACTTCAAATATTATGCTGTCGATTGATAAGGCCACCACTTAACCCGTTTACCTGGGAAAACCTTGAAGAACAAAATCCAGCTTTCAAAAATGACCCAGCAATTTCTCCCTTGCATATGCCATGACAGCAAGTATTAGAAAATGTGTCAGACAAATAAAACATCCAAGTTCTTGCTGATTTCAATTCTTTAAAAATTATTAGGGGAGGGAATTAATCGTCTGACAGAAAAATTCTGAAAAAATAATTACGAGTTTTTATTTTTGCAATTAAATTTAATTTTTTTTTTTTTTTTTTTGGGGGGGGGGGGGCAATCACGGCATGGGGGGGCATGGGGGCCATGCATCATATTTTAACAATACATAAGCTTGTTAGCGGTATATATATATAAGCTTGAAAATTATTTCAAAGGCATAAAAAATATATCAATCACTTCATAGTTTAGTTTATGCAAAAAATCCTCTTCGTATATGCTAACAATTATGAAATATCAGGACTACTAAATTAGCATCCACTTAAGTACCATAACATGATTTGTTATGGTTAAATACTGATCATAATCATCATTATGATTAAATATTTATCAAGTATAATGCATTTTTATACATGTGTTATATCTTTCTTGTATATTTTACTTCCGATTTACATTAAATCGTAGCTTCATTTTAAAACTGGAAATATAGAAGCCCTATGGAAGGCAATCAGGAACGAAGTGAAATACGTAAAATAAAATAAATAAATAAACAAATACAAATCTGAAAAATTTCAAATTTTATATTAGGTCTAAAGGCGTGTTTTTTCACTTGCACATACATACAGGTTTCGAGAGCATTTGGTCTAATATTCCTCTGGGCTAAAAATATTTAAAAGCTGCACATCTTGAGAATTTCCGATATACAGTCTCATGAGCTGGAGACAAATTCCTCCCCCCCCCCGTACAGTGTTACCACTGCTCGCTTTGAACTCGTTGAATTTGTTAATGAAAATTCATCTAAGTTTTACAAAATATGAAATAGACAATAAAACAAATTCCGAATTCGGGCTTCGAGGTGCCCATATTCGGGTGGAGGACTATGTTATTCATAATTTGATGGCTCTAGGTAACGTTGTTTTTTATCATAATGAGAGAAACATATATACATTTATGCCGATTCTTCATTGTTTAATTTCTTTTAAATATAATACAGGGCTCTAATAATTGGTGACAACAATTTTAGTGAATTAACGCAAAATGCCAAAACGAAATTAATAGCCCTTCTAGATAAATTGCCCTAGGAATTGTTGTTTTTTCACAGTTCGAGAAACATACATTCATACAGATTCTTCCTTATTTAATTTCCTTAAATATAATACAGAGTGATAATATTTGGTGGCAACAATCTGAAAGGTGAATCGGGCATTTATTGTAAATCATTATAAAACGCAATTTCAAGATTAATGCCCCTTTTGGCTAATAAATAAAGTAATTAAGAATTACTAATTAAATATAAGGTTAAAAATATAAATTAGCATTAATTAACGATAATTAGAAAATGAATGAATTAAATTAAATTAAAACATTCTAAAAATTAAAGGGGTTAAATTAATTATAATAAAGCATAAAACACTGAAGATTAAAAATAAATAAATAAAATTGCTTCCTATTTTAACTTCTTCATTTAAAGCATTCTCGACCCAAAGAATAAAGTCCATTTTTCCATAAAAAATTCAAGTTTTTGCTCGCATTTGCTCCTTCGAGAGAAAATAAGGCATATATTCAGTAGGTAAAGTAATAATAATTTTACTAACTGTCAACAGAAATATTGCACTAGTAACAGAACTTCCAACTCATTTTACGATTCAGTTATATAAAAGCGCCAGAACATATTACTTGGAATTACAATTTCGCTTTTAAAATTAGAAGTACGACAGCCGAGTTCCACTTGAATTCATCCTTGTTTTAAACGTAAAAATTACACAGGCAGTTTCAAAAGCACTAATAATGGCTTCATTTTCCAAAACATGGGTTCATATTTCTAATCGTAAAAATGCTATAAAGAGCATGAAAAATTAAATTAATGTCTTATTAAGTAAACCGCATCAAAATACAAAAAAATTTAAATGCAATCAACAAAATATTTATTTTTAAAATAAAAGAGAATATTCATGTGGTATTTGTATTTATGAAAACAAATCTGAAAAGCATTTACTGGCATGAAGTCTTTTCCTCGAAAATTTCTGATAGATTATTGGGTGTTCATAGAAAAATTATTTCGCTTTTGTGCATTTTAAAACACTAGGTGTTTCTGATGCAATTCCAATCACTGATTTTAAACACCTACTTAATTCTAAATATACATATAAAAGAAGTAAATTTTGTAGGCTGCTCCATTTTTTCCCTCTTATTATTTTCATTAAACTGAGTTGTCTTTTAAATCTTTAAAAATTAATTTCAAACTGTAAGTAAAAAAAAAAAAAAAAAAAAAAAAAAAAAAGCGCCATCAAAACACATGCGCATAAATGCGTAAAACACATGTGCATAAACCCGATCCAGCACTTCTATCCTAATGCACAGATTTACACTATGACATGATTGAGATGTAAGTTAAAAAAGAAAACATTCTAAAAGTAAAAATTTTAAGTATTCAAGAAAGAATAATGGTGCAGGAATGAATAATCTTGCATCTTTATACTTATTCTTTTTGAAAGAATTAAACGGCCCATCAGCCGTTCCATAATATGATTCTCGTAAAAAAACCCACTACATATTTATTTTTCTGCTTGGACAATGAATTAGCAAATAAAAACAACAATCTGAAATAAAAATGAATTTTCTAATGTCCAATTTTTTTCAAAACTAACGTACTCAGAATGTACATTTCGGACATCCGTTTATCAACAATTAGTGCGTCTTATGTGGTATTAATTCATCTGAACACTAACATCGTCTGAAGAAGAAATTTTCTTAGAGGCAGAATCTATTCTTTTGACGGAGAAAACTGTGGAATTATGAGGTAAATGAACAGTAATAAAGAAACATAAAATGCACTTTAAAAATAGCCATGTCCACAAAGTCCTTTCGGCGACCTTGACTGCTACCCACTAGTAACTTGGTTGCCATGGTTACGAATCGGCAGAGGACGACTTGCCGTTAAATGATACATTAAACGGCTTCACCTAATGCCATGAATAACAAAGCAGGAAAAACTCTTTTACAGCAAAAGCGTATTTATTATGTTCTAATTTCTTAGCTTTAATGATGGCGCTACATGCAAGAGAAGTTATGACTAATAATAGTCACTCTGCATGCTTGATTCAGTTATAAAAAATAGCCCTAATATTTTTATACCAGATTTCTATTTACATAATACAGTTTCTCGAATATACGATTTCAAACAATTTCGCATTTATATTTTTCATTTGACTGCATTGTTTACCCCAGAATTCCTACTAATTTCAGCTAATTAACTTCACTCTAATCACCATTAACAAAATAAAAATTTTCAAGAAAAGAAAAAAAATACGGAATTTGTATAATATGCACAATGATACTCCGCGATTAAACGAAGCCACAAAAAATTGTCGGCTTGATCGAGCAAAGCCAAATGATTGATGCTTAACGGACAGTACTTTGGACTTACTTTGATGCGTAACGAGTAATTCTCAAAACACAGACACGCTGCCAAATAATGAATTAAGTCGCCGAGAATCTTGCTGTTGATTTCAGGCAACTTTTACGTCTGGGAACTGCGTCTCGTAAAAAATAACAAAGACCAGTTTTAATCATGCCAGCCTTTTAATAAATGATGAAACGAAGGAAGTTTAATAACTAAAAAGTCTCCAAATAACATGATTTCTGAGGAATTTAACGCTTGGATGGATACTGATGAAACAACTCAAGTTGCATCACTGACAGATGAAGATATCTGCCTGTCGCCTTGCTGAAAGAAATTTGCAGAAACATCATGAACAGTTAACAAATGAACTTTAGAGTAATAATTCCAGATAATCAACTATTAACGACGTTTTTCCTAAATAAATACTATGGAAGCATATAGTTATATGTTTCTAGTTATATTTATATTAGGTTATTTCATTGATACTTTGAAGGATACCTTTCTCATCACTTAATGTTACCAAAATAGTTGCGGAAAAACGCGATCACACTAAGCGCCGCCTATTACAATTTATCTTTTTATAGCCCCTGTTGGTTGCAATCAATATATCGGAGAAGGATGCTCAGAACAGTGTTGCAGACCGAACCATTATTAGATTTTTGCCATTTTGATTAACGAAGGTTGTCATTCAAAACTTACATATATATGTTATATATGTTATATAAATTTACTTATATATTTTATATAAGAAAATTATCGTTTTATATATTTTTTAAACTTTAAACTTTGATCCATGGTGCCGGACAAAATACACAAATATCAAATAATTCAAAACATTCATATATCATATCGACATTCTTATAAACTTCGCATAGGGATACATTTAACGTTAGGTTTGCGTTGTGAGTACCTATGCAAAAGAAATATCAAAACCCCAATTCAATTAACTCCATGTTTTTAAAGCTCCGGGCTCAAACAAATGGAGGGACCTGACAGACCACAGTAAATTATACACTAAATTAAACTAATGAAACATTAAATATATATCAAACACATTTATTAAATTCTTGAATATATTATATTATTAAACAATGGATAAATGATCAGTAATCCTACCACATATTTTTCTATGCAAAATAACACATAATACCAGACCAAATTACAGCTTACATTAATTAAGTTTAACATTATAAAATCCTACTGTATCATAAGTGTAACACTAGTATTTCTCCCATTTAATCTTCTAACTTTAAGTATTTAGCATGGTAATTCCCTTTAAGAACACTGATAATTTTCACATCGATTAATTAAAGTAATTACTCAGATTTCAGCAAACATTAACATGAAGACTCTTGCTTAAGATAATTATTAAAGAAAAACAAATAAAAAAAAAAACAAATCACTTACGGGGTGAAGTCCATACCGCACACTCGGGAAGACCTTTGTAACGGATTATAACGTGATTGACAGCTCCACGATCGTCGCGGCCAACGTTACTCGAGCGCCAATATTCCTGTGTCCTTATTCACAAAATCCTCGTAATGGAGCTAGCATTCGTGAAATTTAAAGACGTGTTGAAACACACTGAAGCTGTCTTATAATAAATAAATCAGAGCACGAAGGAGGAAAAATCGACCGCACTGACACAGGCAGAATAAACAGCATCGCAACACCACGAGTACACCTCACGAGTTCTTCGTCATTAGCTCGAACGCACGAAAAAAGCAGAGCACCTCGGAACAAATTGTTGGAAGTCAAAGTCGGTAAAAACAGGAATACCGCATCAGGATAACAAGAGAATCGCATACATTCTGGAAAAAGAGAATCGAAATTTCGCTGAGCTACGCTTATGCCAAAGCAAATTCTCGCCGCTAAACGCTAGAGAAAAATCATACCGCTGCTGCTGGTCACGCGGCTACGAGGCAGACCGAAGGGTCAAGCCCCACTCCTTTCTCTTCTTACTCTTCGCTTGAAAATCGCAATCAAGAATATTCAACTCTAGCCTGGTGTAAGCACCCAGGAAATCTCGGTTTCTCCGTCTCTGTGATTTCATATTCTTTCAAAAATCATAAAATTAAAATCACACCAATGCCGAAATTTTA